CAATGCTGTGTGCTCATGGTTATGACTATTACTGGTGTGAATTGCATGAGCAAGGAGGGCGGAAGTCGTCGGTCCTGACGAAACGGGTACATGAGTGAAGGCCTGCAAACCTGGCGCACTAGCAACGTCGGGAGGTGCTTGTGAACTAACAGAGTCTACCCAATCATTAGTTCGATTGGTTGCTACCTTTGAAATAGGTTGACTTACTCCTGTTAAGTTACTTTCCGCTACCTTCTCGCTAACCTCAGATGAACTGTCCTCAAGTTCAAACGCTTTCAATTCCATTTCAATTAGTTGCTTTTTATGATTTTCAGCCAATTGCTCTAGTTCCAGCTGACTTTGTTCAAACTTAAGACGGTTCTCTTGCTCTTTAAGTCTTAAAGATACTTGATACTGCCTTTCCAGCTCCTCATGGCGTCGTTTTACTAAAGCTAACTCATGCCGTTTCTCACTTGATGACATAGTGCGAACAGTCGACGTATGACGAGTGGAAGCAGATTTATCAGACTTATGTGAGTCAAGCTTTCTACTATCCTTAGACTTATTAGAGACCTTAGACCTGTTTTCAGATACTCGTGCTGCTGAATCACTTGTTTTGTGCGAGTGTGAGGATGTCTCAGACCTAGTTTGTTGTAAAGATCCCTTGCTCCCTGTAATGCCGGCTGCTGGAAATGACGAAGGTTCAAGGCTCATCTTGTAACTCTGAGCTTCGTGCATTACTTTATCGTTCATTTCGGTTACTTTCTTAAGCCAAAGGTCTTGCTGAGCAATAATTTTTTCAGGATTTTCTGTTTTTCCCGCTAACCTAATTAATTGCTCATTGACGTCGACAGCTTTTTCCAACGCAATTTTACATTTGTAAACAGCATTATCAATTTTTGTAGTGCGACTATTATTCTCAATGTACTCAAGTAATAATGAGTGACCTTTAAGCAGCTCATTTTCTAGATTTAAACGGGTTTCGAATAACTTGCGTATCTTACTTTGGAATTTTTCGTCCATGTTTTTCACAAATTGACAATATTCTACGGATGCTCACTTATAGAAACCAATCAATAAAATGAGATATTGTTTTGGTACGTAATTAAATTTGCATTAGTAAATCAACATTAGCTTACAAGACGGGGGAACTTGACGTCTCAAAGCTTCTACCTGAAGCCTATTTCTTATAGCTTTCCGAGCTTTGAGGGGTAAGCGGTTTCGCTTCTTACGTGTCTTAAGGATGTTAAGATTAGCGCTATAACGCCTTAGAAGGAGGAGAGTCTTTAACTCAAGGGAAGGAGGCTGGTGAAGCTCTTTGTACTTCTCAATTAGTACCTGGTCCTTAGCCTTACGCTTAGAGATAAAGTCTTTAACGACGTTGAGAACGAGAATACCTGTTGAACCTAAACTTTCCTCTATATCCTCGGTTCCGTTCCGTCTACAGTATACGATCGCACAAATGTTTGTCCTATACCTTAATAACAAATTGACAAGTTGCTCACTACTCAGCTTGCGGTTATTGTTGCTGCGGTGCCTACTTATCGAGTTATTAATGGCGTCGTGCCAAATTACAAGGTCGTTACGGTGCGACAAGTAGTGATGAAGGTAGTACTGTATCGTTTTCTGAGAGTCCCTAGCGTTAAAGTTCAAACTTAAACCTGGCTTCGTAAAGCAAGTATCTTTGACGCGCTTCTGGGACGGAGCGGGAAGTTTTCGGAGCGCGTGATCCAAAGAACTAGCTCCTAGAATGAATACCATACACTTAGGGGACCTATGCGCCGGCTTCGTTACGCTTAAGTACCAATGGGGTTGGAAAATTAAGTAGGTCGGTTGAACTCCAACAACACACACGGAGTAAACCTGAGGATGAAAGAGTTCAACTTAACTCACTTAATATCACCGTACCTGACCACTTAACTTTACTGTCACGCAACGAAGTCAATAATCTGACGGGCTGAAACGGCTTTGTTTTACTCGAAGCGAACTGGCTTTCAGTTTCACCAATGGTGGGTGGGGGATCAGGCAAATTGGTTAAGTTCCAACAACACACGCGGAAGAAACCTGAGGATGAAAAAACTCAACTTAATTTGCCTGATATTTCGCTACCCGACCACTTAACATAAGGTTGGTGTCATCTTACAGCACAGTTTCGCAGAATTCTGGAGACGTCTTGAGGATTTTTTGTTAATTTTTTTACTTTTTTCACAAAATTTTTCAGTAAATTTTGGTCAGCAGGTTCGAGTCGTAAATCAACCCAAAAAACTAGTCCAGTACCTCTTGTCTATGTTCCGATTTCACTGATTAATATTCCGTTCACATATATCCAAAAATTTTTGGTATCGAGAAAAAATGTCAAGTCAGTTTGTCTATGTACCGACTGTAAGATGTTTCAGTTCAACGGAACTGTCCAAAAATTTTGGGTATTGAGAAAAATTACCGGGGGCTAGCTTGCGGGAAAATTTGTATCATAAATGACATCGTATTTAAATTTATAGCACAATTGGAGTTTTAAAAGTTTTGGAAACTTCTTACAGTTTTGGAGATTGGGCGGTCACCGGTTTTGGGTTGTCAGACCTTCGGTCAGGTGCAGAGAAATTGTTCGGCAATCACTTCTCTAACTTACACAAAACGTCTGCAGTTGACTTGTACTCACTTAATACGTCTGTTGTTGACAGTCAGGATATCGTAAGTTGGTTTGGTGTAGTAATTTCCTGTAGCTATATTTCCAACTGTTCCAACTATATTTCCAAATGAATCAATCGTGGCAAAATTCCGAGAGACTTCGAGAATGAGAGACTTCACAAAGAGTTGCACTCTCTACAAAACCAACTGTGCAAGGCAGAGGACAAGATACACGAGCTTTAACACCGACTCAAAGACGCACTTCAGATCATATCACGTTAGACATTCATGCACCTCATTGAAGTTGTGTATTTGTGATTTAGCGGGTGGTTTTACCAAGTGATGAAGTATTGGAGTCGCATAATTTGAAGACCAAGTATCACGCCACGATTCTTACGAGTTTATGCACGTCGATCGAAAGTGTTTGAAATCAAATAATAGATCGTACAATTAACTCCATGTTAAATCTCGTGAGTCTAGATATCGTCGCATGACCGTTTTGAGGTTATGAAGTAAGATGATTTCTTGACTATCTGCTTATATTTCGATTTCTAACTTCAGTCCCTTGTGGGGCGCCAAAATATGCTCGCTAATCTCCAAACGAAAATAATTGCATCCAAATTCGTAAATTAATAAGAGATATTTATCGGTAAATAACTCAGGCAATAGATAAATTTCGGTATTTTTCTATTGATCAGGACATCATACAACATTTTTTTCATCTGTCCGTTTTTGGTACAAAACGGCGCAAGCTAGCCACAAGAACCGGTCGGTAATGTCCTTGAGACAAATTGCTCTTTTTGGCGGTCAACCTTAATCAAGGCTGAACCGAATTAGAACCAAAAAACAGTAAAAAACGGTCAAATGGGGCTATAGCCCCTCGGGTCTACATGTTTTAAGGTCTGCATATGGGGGGACTCGAACCCGGTTGACCGGCGTGAGAGACTTGTCTCTAGGCCGCTCGGCCAACTGTGCTTATTGTTGTTACATTTTAGTTCAGTTTTATATGCATCTATACTCTACATTCTATACTCTACATTTGCATTGCAACATAGCTCTTGTGACAATTAAAAACAATGAAATGCTAGTTCATGATGCTTACGCTTTTTTCAAACATCGAATTTTGACAGACACTTGAGTTTTGTGGCGATGTGTTTTATCAAATTGTAATGGCCGTGTGCGCGGTTTGCAAGACAAGGTCACTATTTTAAATGATTATAGTCCTTTCCCAGATTCAGCCGACATCGAAAAGCGAAAAATCAGAACAGCTCTTAAAACTATGCTCTGTTTTTTTTCTGTTTTTTATGCCGGTTTCATTATTTTATTTTTCTTGCAGACTTTTATAGGCTAACCAATTTTTCCTAGTTCCTCTATAATTTCATTTAACACCAAAATCAAAAATTCTCTAAAATTGGACTGATTTTACCAAGAAGTGCTGGTGGCTGTCAATATGGTGCACACCAAAACGAAGCAATAAAATCTAATTTAGCCTCAAACAGGTCCTTTTCCCTGAAACGCCATTTGGTTTCCATTTTTTTTTCAGTTTTCCGAGTGATTCAAGGCTGTTGATATCTGCCTTGTGTTTTGCAGTAATTCCAAGGTTGCAATATTTTTTTTTAAATTTTCATCATTTAATGGGAGGGGGTGATAACCAAAAATACCTCCCTATTTTGTAAAAAAAAACTGCGTCGCAGGCAACTTTTACAAAAAAAAACAGAAAAACTGAGAAAAACGACACGTTAAGCCCTTTTTGATTGAAAAATGGCGTTTTTTGCGTACGCTACCCCCTCATTTTTGGTGTATTTTGTCGCCAAAAAGAGGTTTTGAAAAGTTTTGGGGTTAGTTAATCAAAAGTGAGTGTGGATTTCAGTAACAAAGTGTGAACACTTTGGATAAAAATTGGCAAACAGAAATGAAGGGGGAGGCGGTGATGCCCCTCCGTCCCGTCCCTCGGCTCACTTTGATGCTTCGTCAAGACTTTGACGAATCAACGGTACAACCCTTTTTTATTCAATATAGCGGTGGAAAAAAAATTTGTTCTAAAATGAATTTCTTAGATTATAGCCACGACTATTTTAATTTTGTCAATTTTGTGTCTCATATTTGTGAAAGTTGTCTAAAAGATGCGGCAAAAAACGGAAAAAAACTGTTCGTGGTATATTAGATAAAAAAAGTGTCAATATTAATACGGCTAGCGGGTATCACCTTACGGGATACTGTACGGTTGATTCATTTATTGCCCATAAAGTCTATAGTTTTTACACTAGATCCGTAAAAATTTGGAGGAAGCTACAGACAGTTTGGGTCAACAATAAATTAAATTCAATGAAGTTTTCACATGTTTTATTTTAATAATTGTTGCTTCTGCTAATACTTGTTTCTTCTGCTGTGTGTAGAGTTGATATTGGAGGTGGAGATTGGTCAACTGCATGGGTTTTCCTCCTCTGGCGACATGAACAATGACAATGGGTGGTCCTTCGGGGCATCTCTCCTGTTCGCCACCAGCATCGGAACGACAGTCGGTCAGTTGCAGCAGTTTACTTGTTGATCATATGTTTATATTTGAAAGAAGTTTTTGTTTTTGATTCCGAAGTACCGCGGGGCAATCGGCATGTTTCGACCATGCTCGAGGTATGTTTCGACCATGCTCGACCAAGTTCTGATATCTTTCGGGTCCGTGCTCGCGGTATGTTTCGAATTTTTGCTCGACCCAAACTCCTGTCTCGGCTACTTTTTTTTGGGTTTTGACGAAACAAGACGAAACATAAGACGAAACATAAAGTGAGCACCTCGACCCAGGTTATCCAGGCTATTAACCGCACACTGAAGTGGCTTAAGGGGATGTAAAATGGGCACCAGCAATCAATTACAAATTTCCCTCGTTGACAGGTTATGGCAACTTAGCCCCGGGAACAGTGACTGGGAAAGTGCTGACAGCGTTGCTGACTTCTGTCTCGGTGCCACTGACTCTGCTGTTGACAACTGTAATGGTCATCCGTCTCCTCAAGTTCACTCGAAAACTCAAGGCATACTTAGAGAACAAACTTGGTCAGTTCACTCTATCTGGCTATGTTAGCTACTGAATTAAAAAATTTATTTCCGCCGGAAACAAATCAAAACGCTGGACACTAATTTATCAAAAAAAAATCTTCTACCAGAACCCTTTTTTTGTCACAATTTTGCATACATTTGAACCTAACAAGGCCAACGAGTCGTAAAGGCCTTGTTTTAAGGTATTTGCTCATTAAGAGAAAATAGTTTAAAATTAAACTAAGAATATCAGATTTGATGATCAAAAGATTTTAATGTGTAATTTTCCAAAGAAAATAGATGAGTTTTGTTTTCTAATTTTCAGGCAATTCTTTGGGTCTGTTTCTGACCCGGTTCCTGCACTTATTCATCGTGTTCACGTGTGTGCTCTCGTTCTTCGTGTTCGTAGCTACCCTCGTGTTCCGAGAAACAGAGCCTTCTTGGAACATGTTAGAGGCTCTCTACTTCAGCATAGTGTCTGTGTCCACGGTGGGATTGGGGGACTACGTGCCTGGATCCCAAGTGTACGGGGGTTGGAGGGAGCTCTACCTCGTGTTCTGCTCAGGTGACTTTGAACTTCGTGTGTTTTTGCTAATATATTTGTGTTTTACAAGAAGATATCCAAAAAAGGTTTAGCAACAAAAAGTTAAGATTTTGGTAGTGTCAGAGACATGTACTTGGTAATCTCTTTTTTGCAAAAACTCATAAAATTGATCATTTAAATGAGCTATAGGCCATTTTAAATGGTCAATTTCTTTAGCCATTGTCATAATCCAGAACTGTGTTTGGAAAATGTTTCATAATAAAAACAAGCTCAAATAAGAATCATGAGCATCGTGGAAAATAGCTTGAATAAAAGTGTCTGTTTTAGCATTTCTTATTGTGGGCGTGGTGTTTGCCCTGTTGGTTCTCGAAACCCTCTACGAGATCCCTGAACTGGGCATCCACGTGTACCTCCTCCCGACAGACGAGGACGAGAGCGTCTCTGGCCAAAACGACTTCGTGGACCGACTCGACAGCGACAAAGTGCCGAATAAAAGTAACCCTACAGTTAATTCTACGAATATGATGAGTCACGGCGATGGGGGAAAAGCGACTGAGAGGTTGATCGGCAGTGATAGTTCCAAGCCATCATATGGTGTCAAGTAACTCAACATAGCGCATTTAATAAAAGTTGGTAGTAATTGTTTACGAGATTATAACGAAATTTTTGTACTTTTTTTGACCACTTAATGAAAAACTTAAGTCAAGAATTTTAAGAAAAGTGATGCAAATTGATGAGAGAAAAATTGGAAGGAGAAGTTTAATTTTCGTTTTTTTTTAGAAACCAAAAATTTTGTTATGCTCTTCCTGTGTATTTTAAGTTTTCCCTCATAGATGCTCAAATGATATATTTTTGTTTTGAATGAATTGCTTTATTGATGAACTTTATCGTTCCTTCATTGGTTTGGAATGGTTGTTCTGCATTTGATGAAAACATATATTAGCCATGTAAACTTCCTGAGATAATTTAGTGCAGATGAGGTTTGTAAGATAGGACGGGCTCAACTCCTTAGAAATATTTGTGAATTACTCAATTACTGATTTTATTAATAGTTGTACTTCGCATTTGAAACATGACTTCGATTTTTGGAAAATCCCCGCACAGAATAATTTAATATTACTTGTAAAGTTTTGCGTATATAGATCATATTGGTAGTAATTTTCTCGGAACGAATCATAATTTGAAACTGCGTTCTTCTGTAGTTAGTTCTCATGATATCAAAATTCCATCGAAGATACTGAATAATTGCATTAAATGTAAATCACCACAGAATTACAACAAAAGTCTCACTGTCTTAAAAACAATTGATCTCTTCTATTTATGCTTATTTAGTTTTCCCACTTTGCCCTTCTTTTTCAAATAACAGGAACCTTCACGCATAAAACTTTTTTTTTGCGCTCAATGCAGGCCTTATAGCCGCACACACATCTTCTCGCAGACTCATTTTCTGTTCTCTATGTTTTAGGCAATTTTTTGCTCGGGCTTTCGAAGAAAGTGACAAAATATTTGTGCTCGAGTTTCTTTTTCTTCGGACAAATTTAGACTCCTTAAATAGCCTTTTTTGACGTTTGTTTTTGAATTTCTATTGATCTGAAAACTATTGATGTCATGATCTCAAATTAAAAAAAATACCTGGGGCTACTTTTTGCAAAATTACAAGGATTTGATATATGGCAGTTTTTCCAACTTGGGATGATTAACGCGCAATTTTCGTGCACATGCCATATCACGAGCCGTCTTCTTTGCTAGAACGATTACTTCGAATCTACTTCAGAAAATTTAGGGTTATTTGTTTTCCAGCCAGCAACAAAGTATAGCATTGCGACTTTCTCTAAGTCGTTCACCAAAACAAATACACAAAATTCAAACTAAACAAGACTGCTCGCATCAGCAGTAATACATAAAAAAATAAATGAAATAAAATAAAATGAAAATTTTTTTTCTAAAATTTGAAATTTTTTATGAAAATCATCCCCCCATACGCCAAATAAAGTACAAAAAGATAGATTTTGTTCCTCGTAACAAATCAATTATGACAAATAAGCTTCGTTCAACCAATTTGGAACGATTTATAAGACGGATTAAATCTCGCTAACGCGTTAATAGCGCGAATTATATTGCGCGTTAATAGTCCCAAATTGGTCAAAATGGCCAAAATGGCAATCTTTAAACCCTCATAACTTTCCGAAAAATGATCACAGGTGAAATATCTTTTCAAACTTAAGCTCAGGACAAAAATAGCTTTCGAATGATAAAAGAAAATTCCGTCAAAATGGCTAGTTAAAAAGTCGAAATTTGTCTGAAGAAAAAAAACCCACCCCGAGCACAAATCGAAAGTATCGAAAGTCGGAACAAAAACGGAACATTGAGACAAAAAAACAAACATGCTTTAAAAATATAACAAGAATGCTCGTATAAAGGCGAAGCTTTGAACGTTCCAACTGCCTTTTAAGGTCTATGAAACAGTAGCGACATGAAGAAATTGAATGTAAAAAAATTAAAATGAAAAATTTTTCCTTAAGAAAAATTGAGATTTTTTGTGAGAATTTTCCCCTCACACGCCATATAAAGTGAAGAGTGTGAGGGGAATAAAGAGCTTACGCGTTAATAGCGGGAAACATATCGTTAATTATCCCAAGTTGGCCAAAAAGCATTCTTCAAACCCCCATAACTTTACGAAAATTGATCACAGAAGTAACAAAAGTCGGAAGAACAAGACTGCTTGTATATCAAGACAAAACCCTGAATGCTCCGACTACCCCTTTATCAAAATTGTTTAATTTCTGGGAAAAAAAATTGAAAAGCTATCAGTTTTGGACAATATCAAAGATCAAGTGTAGAAATTAAAGTTACGAAAGCTAGCCTCAATTCAATTTGGAAGAATTTTGTTGTACAGGATAACTTGTGGCGCATAACAAATCTTTTTAGAATTGATTTCAATGAGTCGATATTTTCAATGGGGCGACAAAATATTTTTGTTAAAAATTATTAATTCGATCGCCAAAAATTAGCAGAATAAAAAAATTACCTCCAGCATAATTGTTCCGTTTTATAATTGGATCAAAAAAAGATATGTAAAGTTTTAACAAAGCAAAATACAACAATGTCCATCGTAAGGTTAATAAAATACAAACAAACAAAAAATGAAGTACGACACAAAAAGATTCTTTCTAAAAAATACACATTCAGTCTAAAGTAACGAGCATTTAATCATTTGCGTCTACCTCTTAACAAATGAATTTGAAAAAAATGAAGTACGACACAAAAAGATTCTGTCTAAAAAATACACATTCAGTCTAAAGTAACGAGCATTTAATCATTTGCGTCTACCTCTTAACAAATGAATTTGAGTGTTATCACTTAGTTCTGACATCTAATCGTCATTGTCCCTTCATATTTTTTTCATGTGTCTCAGCTTGACAGTGAACCCGGCTAATCTAGTATTTCATTGTAAGCAAAAACAGCCAGAAAAATAAAACCAACTGACAGTTGTAAAGAGTCAATGAACGGAATAAAAAAGAAAAACAATTGAATTGGTTTTTGAAAAAAAATTCAATTTGAAAATTTTAAAGAAAAAATATTTTGCTTTACCGCTTCTTTCTGATTTCAGAAAAAAATTCTATCAGTGAAGTTAGCTCAATTTAAGAAAATTGGATCAATAGCTAAAGTTTTTACTCCGCTGGGAAATCTGAAAATTAAGTTCCACATTCAAAACTAGGAGTCGATCACTTGTTTTGTCACACGTTCATCGACTCTTAAAAAACGGTCAAAACAAAATCTAAAACATAGCCAACAAATATATCGAAAAAATCAAATAATGCAATTAAACAGAAAAAAAATGCTTTCGAAAAACTTAACCTTTCGAATTCGAAAAAAAACTAGATGAACTTATGATTGACACAACCTTGATAAAAAACCCACTTTGAGAAAAGTGGATCAAATTTTTTTTTATTTTGCTTGGAATTCTGAAAATTAAATTTCACTTTCGAAGCTTCAAAACGTGACGCTTACACTTTGCTGTTTGACAGTGGAATGCCTTCTTTTTTATGATGGAAATGAAATAAACTTAAGAAGAAATCAAGTCGTCAAACCGCAAAAAAATTAAACCGGAACAAATTTGAAAATTTTTCCTGAAAAAAGTTACGAAAGTCATTGCAACCTATATGAGCTTCCGAACTATTTTCATCGACTCTTGGAAAACAGTCATGTACGTAAGGAAAGAGAAAATAATTCTGAAATACATGAAAGTTCGATTTTCTAAGAAAAAGTATTTGACATTGAAACGCTTCGAATTTTGCATCAAATTGACTTTTTTGATGAAATATACACAACTCGAGGCAACTAGATCAATAAATAAGTTATTTATCCCGCTGGAAAACTTGAAGTTAAAGTTCACTTACGAGACCACGTAAGATTATGTTTTCGTGTACTTTAAACTTTTGTAGTCCAATAGCGGAGTTTGCCTTTTATTTGCCTGAATTTTAGCGTGAAAAAATTATTTTGATTTTTTCTAACATTTTTTTTCAAAATCACCTAGACCTATGAAAGAGCTTTCACTACGTTCATGACTGTTGATAAGTGCCTTCACTTGGTTCACTGAATTTTAAAAATACATTCGAATACAAAAGCTAGTCACACTCTGCGGTCAAAACTGACAGGTGGTCTTTATAATGGGTCATAAATACATCTGCATAATTCTTTTTGTTAAGTAGCACAGGAATGAACATAACATTTTTGAAAAAAAAACCCTAACTCGAATCCCACCTGAAAAAGAACTTGAAAAGCGAACTTCAAACAATATAATGGCAAAAACAATTATTTTTAATTAAGATTTTTTCAAAAAAGAGAAACAGGAAGACCTAGGTACCTGAAAGTTCAATCAATTCATTAAGATATGCAAACAGAAGCAATTACCAGCGAAGAGTTGAAAAATTATTACTCTTTTAATACGCAGCTTTTAACTCGCCGAAACTTTTTAGCTCACAACTTTTTCTGCTCTCTTGCTCAAGGATGTTGACAGTAAAAAAAGAAGTATAGTCACAATACCTTAGATTTCATTAGAATCAGTGGAATAATAAATGTTGTACATTATATCAATTCAATTCAATTAACTTATCTTTTGATTAAACTTTCGTTTCAGTAAACTTTGCAAACACCGCAATCAATCAGTTACTATGACAGTGTTCAATGATTAAACGTTTTTAACTAATCAATTTCAATCAAATTTGTAATTAGCGAATTAGTGATACATTTAAAGCAGAGAATAAATACATCAACGTCTAACAGAGAGACGCAACTATACATATTAATATCATCTGGAAACCCATTTTAAATCACAATTTGACATTTGAGTTTCCGAGAATTGGTTGATATGATCATAATACCATCACTGATTGTTTTGTATTTGGTATACAGTGCCATGATGTTTTGCAGAGGGCCAACTAATGTGATGACCTCACTTAACCTTGTAGATTTTGACCAGGAATGTGTTTTTGCCCTTGACTGTGTTTCGGTCATGGTCATTCAATACGTAATTGTAGTTGCCTTCGCGGTCCTGTGAAAAAGTATCAATCGAAAACGATTAAAAACTACTATAACTGCAAGTATAGTCAACATCCAGTTGGAAATGTGTCAAAAAACATGTCACTTAAGTTTCTCAGTTGATAGAAATTTTTGGATGATTGTCTCTTTTTCAA